GAAGGTGGGTTGGTTCACCGGCACGTGTCTGACCCCGGGTTTCCACAGGGGCCGTCAGCAGCACGTTACTGCAGCAGCACGTCTTGCTCGTGTAAACTGCTGCTTGGCCCTTCCCACGAGACGCGAAGCAGCAGGGGAGCAGCTGTCACCGACCGAGCACGAAGTCACACGAGTGACTTCGTCAGTAAACACAACAACAAGCAGGAGAAAACTACAACATGGTTTGTGTTTTATGTTCTGTCCGTTTTATAATCGCCAATACGGACCTGAAAAACAAAGGAGACCGCTAGCTAGGTGATAACTTCTCACGGGGACGCACAGTTAGTAACCTTTTTTAAAAGTAAAGCAACCGGAAGGCAGTACGTTCTTTATTCTGAAAATCTCGGGAGCTTCTCTCCATTTCCGCGTCAGATTTCCTGTCTTTCCTTCCCCAAAAATGTCAAACTTGACCCGTTTCAGAGGCGTCGCGCGTAGAAAATAGAACCGGCGCGTAAAGGCCGCGACATGCTGCTCCTGAGACGCGGCCGACTCGCGCTGCTGACGGCTGCTGACGGCTCTAGTGGAAAAGGTTCTGTTGACCACAGCGGTTCCTATCAGCAGCTATGACGTGCTGCTGCAGTAACGTGCTGCTGCAGTAACGTGCTGCTGACGGCTCCCGTGGAAAGCCGGGGTTAGTCAGCCCGGTAAAAATGATTAACGACACCGAGCGGACTCACGTTCACGTTTGAAAGCAGCGCTGATTCCAGAAACCTCAGCACAAAGTACGTTCGTTGCTCTGAGCCAGCATGAAGAACAAGAGAACAGCGCCGCTAACTCAGTTCAGGTGATGCTTTCCATCCTAACCCCCAAATTCCACTACCTCCGCTCCGCTCCGGTCCGCCCCCGCCTTCCGCAGCCGCTCGCTTCCGAACTCAATTTTTACTGGTACCCGCTCTACAACGGCTCCGCTCCGGTGCGGAGACCTGAGGTGGGCAAACAAGCATGCGCGGGATTGTCGAGATCTTGTGATACAGTCCGAGCAATAAACGCGGAAGTTAGATCCAAACACCCGTTGTGTGGGAGAATCATCGGCATGAACTGTTTAATCTGCCCATCATTTGTGTTGAGAGATCAGCAGTGTTTGGATCAACAAAGTGTGACTACTTTGATAGTAGAAACTGTATTTATGGCTTACTTTTGTGCATTTAAACTTCAGCCGCCATTGATAGTTGTTAAAAGTTGTTAAACCTGTGCATATGAAACAAAAAACGCCTTTTGTTTATCGATTTATTGTGAAATACGGAAATTGTGCTTGCTCCTTTTCCTGTTGGGCCGTTGTGATTTTTGTTCATTTACTGCGGAGGTGCTCCGGCGTCCGGCAAAAATAGGATCGATTCTATTTTTGCCGGACGCCGGAACAGAGGGCGGCGCACGGCGCCACACTGCCGGAGCACGGCCGCAGTAGTGGAATTGCTCTGATTGACTACAACGGGACCGATTTTGCTCCGGCGTTCGTGTCGGAGCGGAGCGGAGGTAGTGAAATTTGGGGGTAAGGGTCTACGTAGGGAGCGGGCGTATTACGTGAACGGACCCATCTGATTGGCCGCATATCAGAAGGGCTACATTTGATTGGTCAAATAATACTTCCGCGTAAAAAACTGCTGGTTTACAAAAAGCTGATGTATCACACGGATGGAAATGTTTGAACCAAACATTTATCGCCATTTTTGGCGTGCTTTGCGATGGGCCTATCGCACGTCCTGTTATCCCGATGATGATAATTTTTCGATACATAATGCAGCCCTACCCACAATACACCACAGTATTTTCAAAAGGATGGCGGATCAGAAGCCGGCAGCTACTTCGGGACAATTTTCAAGTGTAAAAGTAAGTCAACTAATTTAAAATGTTTTTTTTAGATCCAAAGAAGTTATCTATGGTTGGTTAGTAGCTTAGTAGTTGCAGCTTCGGTGGCTAGCGGGTAGTAACTCGCTTATATTTTTAATTTAATAATCATATACACAATTTAAAAAGTAAAAATCTTGTTATATATTTATATTGAAACTAATACGCATAAAATATAACGTTATCTCCCGTGTCACGTGACGTTACGTGACCGCCGTGGAAGCCGCGGTCACGTGATGCAAGTCTGTTCCATTTAATCGTTTTCTTTGACCAAGGAAGGACAGTGTCCTTGTAAGCAAGGCACATGGCCTCGCAAGGCATCGCCTCGCAAGGCCAGGCGCCTTGAAATTGAGAAACACCCATAGAACACCGATCAATCAAGATTATCCGATGAGCATTATGGGCACGAGCCCTGGGGCCCACGTCCACTGGGGGCCCATGTGAGCAGCCCAAATAAGGGGAATAAAAGAGGTCTAACAGAACCATCAGGGAGGCATTCATCTTGCAGTATCTGACTCAGCTATCGGGGACACACACACACACACACACACACACACACACACACACACACACACACACACACACACACACACACACACACACACACACACACACACACCACTGAGATGATCAATTAAAAGACTTTATTTTACATGTGGAGTACTCCACCCTTTTCTTCCAAGTCCGAGGGCCTCTCTAGCACTTGATTCATCATCTTCAAAAGTATGGAGAGCGCTGATTACTCATGCGCTCCAGGTACTTCTTGCTGAACTGAGCACAGCCACAGTAAAGTGGTGCCAGCAAAATAAAATAACGAACATGCAACTGTTCATTTCTGCTCATTTTTCTACATTCTGTCTTTTATTCGTGTCTCAGCGGAGCTCATAACCTGTACTCTGCTGATTTCACCTCTCCTCCGTGGCACATTGCTATGTATGATACGTGGTCGGTAGATGGCGTTGAGCTGCTTAGTTCAAATGATTTCAAAATGAGGTGAAAAGGTAGGAAAGCCTGAAAGCAGTTTTTCTAGAGGATTGAGAGGAGATGCAGGATGATAAGAGTCTGACAGGGCAGGAAAATAGTCCAATAAAAAGCAAGAAAACAAAAGAAGGTGCCTGAAAAGTAAAAGGTAGGTAGATGTATCCCCACTACACCCGTATAACTGTTTAAAGCAACAATCTAAGCATGTATTATTTACACATTTGAAACAATTCAGGTGACATTTAAAGCTCTGTCCCATATCCAGGGCCGTTTCAAGGCATTTGGGGGCCCAAGGCTCCTACACCTATCTCCTGCATTAGCTTCTGACATACCTACGTCACACCGTCACTTAACATTCAAGGACTCAAGACGAGGAAGGCTGTCGTTAGTTTAGCGTCCAGCTACCAGAGAATGTCTCGGCTGAAGCTAACTGTTAGCATTAGTGACCCCCCCAATTAAGCAGAACTTCTTCAGACTTGTGTTATATGTGGAGATAAAACAACAACTTTGCAGAGCAAACATACTCGGTGGTGCAGTTGCGTTGCTCTTATCCAATCAATGTTAGCTAAAGACTCCAAACCTGTCAACTGAAACTCCTCCGGCTGCTTCTACGTTCTGAAACAGGCGCACCGGAGCTTATTCCCCCCAGAGTACGACTTACTAGGCCTTTATTCCTACTATAGTTCACTGCAAATGTATTAAAGTTTTGATAAAGCACCACTTTAAATGAACGTTCCCTTTGCTAAACCTCTCAGACGTTTTCTTTCTGCTAAGAATCTTCTCCATTATGGTTTTGCTCCACTTCACTAGAAACGAGAATGGATCAGAACCCCAAGCATCAGCCGCATTAAAGAAAGAATAATTGTGTTTTGCTAGTCTGTGTGAATCTATTTTTATGAACAAACTTGTTTTTTTAAATGTGTGAATACTGACCAGATTTCAAACTTCACTAAATACATTGAAGACATTTTCTACTTTTTAAAGAGCAAGTCACCCCCAAATAAACTTTTTTTGCTGATAAACTAAATAAACGAGTGTCTAATCGTGCTGCAGACACGTGTCGTCAATAATTTGGCACTTCAGTGCATCTTAGTTCAAATATAAATATTCAGCCTAAAACTGGCAGTGTTGTGCCGTCGTCAGGTAAAAACTCTGCACTGTATTTTAATTTAAATCTGCCACCGCTATTGGCTAAGAGGTATGCTATGATGTAAACTGGTACATTATGATGTCACATTGCTGTCGTGAGCCTGTGTGTGTGTGTGTGTGTGTGTGTATTTTTTAGCAGCTCCGCCTTCTCGGTCTGCCAGGCAACAGCATTTGTTGCATTTTTCAAACATGAAGTGGGAGTGGAGTTAAGACTCTGGTAGGGGTTGACTTGCTCTTTAAGGCTTTTAATTTTCCTTCAATCAGACTTTTCAACTTTACATAAATTAAACCAAGGACGTTCTGCAAGTACAAAACATTCAACTTCTACACCTAACTCGAGAAATGAAATGCTATTTTAGATAATTTAAAGTAATTCTAGGGATGCACCGATACGATAATGGTATCGGTATCCGTGCCGATACAGATACTGATACCTGTATCGGTATCGGTAAAAGTTAACAGATACCAGTAACTGATACCAATGCAGTTGTTTGAAAGTGACTTCACTGTAACTTGTCATTTCTGTTCACCTAATATTTTAGTTTTGTGATCACTTCTATTACTTTTTATCTACCTCACAGTCTTTTCCTAATGAAAACAGAAGAAAATAAAACCTGTACTCCAATTCATTGCATTTTTTTGTGTGGTAGAAGTATCTGTATCGGTAATCGGTATCGGCGAGTACTCAGATCCAAGTATCGGTATTGTATCGGTTTGGACAAAAGTGGTATCGTTGCATCCCTAAGTAATTCCTTAAAATATCTTGTCTGATGTATTAGCCTTCAGAGTGTGTGTTGGGGATAAATCTCAATTTTAGCTCAGCATCTCAGAACTTGACAACAACTAGAGCCATTTACGTGTTTGCAGAGTTTAATCAGCTGGGCAGCAAACTTACATTTTTTATGAAAATAGCTGTAGAAGTACATCCAATAACTACTTTTTAAAAGACTCATTTGGTTGATTGCTTTTGTCGTCTCTGGTCTCACCTGTTCTTCTTTGGTATAGAGCTGGAAGCACTCGTCCAGGGTGCAGCTATGCTGCTGAAGGTGTTGCTGCTGCTGGTTCCGAACACTCTCAGCATCTTTCACCACCTCCTCCTGGATGCTGCCAAACAAACTGAGCCAAACACAACGTGTGGTATTTCCCACTGAGCGTCAAAACTGCACTGGGATCAAGAGGGCAAGGCAGGGCAGCTTTATTTATATAACACATTTCATTCACAATTCAATGTGCTTTCCATTAGCAGGAACATTGAAATCAACATGACAGAAAACTCAATAAAAACAAAATTAAGTTAAAGTTAAAGGGTGAGCAAGTACAGGGCAGTAGGTGCCGCATAAGAACATTCATTCAAGGTTTTCAATTTTGATTTTAAAGTTTCTACAGTTGGGGTACATTTGAGGTCATGAGGAAGAAGATTGCACCTGTGTGCAGCCTCGTAGCTGAAATCAGCTTCACACTGTTTGGTTTTACATCGGTCGGTACCAGGACAGGGAGGTCCATGCTGGGCTCTGTAGACCCAAGGTGGGGTTTAAAAATTAAATGTGAATTTCTGGAGCTCAGATCACTGGCAGAAGCGAGGCAGCAGAACATAGGCTCCACCGGTATCTCCGACCACAACAGCAAGCAAGGTGGGTTAAGTGTCTTGCCCAAGGACACAATAGCAGAATTCTCTGTTCGGAGCCGGGATCAAACCTGCAACCATCCGACTACTGGACAACCCGCTCAACATCCTGAACTACTGCTGCCATATACCCGCCAATCACCTGAAGGAGATCCAACATGTATTCTGGCCCTTTACCATTGAGCAATTTATAGAAGCACTTGAAATGTATTCTGTAGTTTACAGGTAACCAGTGTAGAGATTTAGGAACAGGAGTGATGTGCTTGGTTGTTTTGATTCTTGTTAGGGCTCAAGAGGGTGCTTGTTTGTTGTCCCATAAGAACAGACCAGATTATTGTGGATTTAGGCAATTTAAAAAGCCTAACACACACACACACACACACACACACACACACACACACACACACACACACACACACACACACACACACACACACACACACACACACACACACACATGATGTTTTCTATGTTATTTGTTTTCATTGATGACTCTAGACCACAGTACTCACCATTCTTTGATGCCGTGTTCCCACTCAATAACCACCTTCACATGGGGAGGGCCTCCTGGGCCACAGAACTTTAAAGCCCTGAAATACAATAAACCATCAAAGAAAACAACTACACACATCCACACACACTCATTATCTTAGTTTACTCAGCAAAGGCTCAGTATGATATTCTATACAACATATAATCTAGATATGAGAAAGACACTGAAAAACAGAGGAAATGAGTTTTATTTTCATCCGCAGACACAGAAAGGCTCTGATGAAATGAAGCTACTGAGTGTATTTTGCTATTTTATCTCATTTTGTTCCACGGTGACACACATGACGCACTCTGCAGCATGAAACCTGGTATCATGGGCTGAATCAGGACAAGGACCAAACGCCCCATTGTGTGGACTTTAGGGTTGTGGGGTTGCTTTATGTTTGTTTGTTTGTTTGTTTTCTGTGGACCGGGGGTGGCAGTGATGTTAGAGCTGCTTTGATCTCTGGAAGAAATCATAGCAGCGTTAATATTCAACACCCCACACTCAGACTTCCAATCTACATCACCAGATGATGTTTATTTTTCCAGGAAGATGACAAGCAAAACAACTAGACTACAATACCAAGCCAGCTTTACTTCTAAACCCATTTAAAAAACAGCATGGCAGCGAACCAAAAGAGAGACAAAACTAAAAGACTAGGTACAAACAGAAACATTGCACAAACACTGTAAAAAAATACCTATAGAAACTACCCAATAAAATTGGAATAACAATTTGCTTCATGAATTTATACCCCATATATATATTTGTAAATGGTGCCTTATACTCTAAGTTAAGATATACTTAAAGGAATTGGGTAAAATCTAACTGACATTTATTAGTTAATGTTACCCAATTTTCTAAGCTAGAAATTCAAAAGTAAAACCATTTGTCAAAGCTGGGCTTGATCATGCAACCTTCTGCTTACTGGACCACCTGATTAAAGCTTGGTTTATGCTTGACGCATTCACTTTCCGCGCGGTGATGCGGCTCGCGGATGGAACGCGCTTCACAACTCGCAGCGTTTATGGTTCATGCGGCTCGTCTCTGCGGTGAGCCAATATTCTCCCAAACTGTAGGGGGCAGCATGGAGCTCTACGGCATGCATCCAACACTACACCATAGTAGAAGTAGAAATTACTGTTTACAACACGGCATTCCAGCATTTTTAACAACGTTCTCGTCTTTTCCGACAGTGCGAGCTATTTCTCTCCAAGAATTATTAACAACATGTTGATCATGGTGATCTTTGAGAGCTGAATCATACAAATGTCTGTATTTACGAACCTCTGCCATACTAGTTCTTGCTGGTCCGCCATGTTTTTCCGCGTCCGTCCGTCCGCGTGGTTAGAAATTTTCCGAGGTGCGCGTTGCGGAAATTCTGGGCCGTGCGGAGGCGCGGTGGAGGGGCGTGGTTGTAAAAATGATGCAAAATAACGCAACTTTTCCACGCGGAGCCGTGCGGACCTTGCGGATGCGTCAGCCATAAACCAACCTTTACCTTCCGAGCTATATTGCTGCCCAATGTAATGCTGGTATGAATATAAATTTATTCAAACAAAAGCAACACAAAATAATAAATTTCTGGTTTACAAAGGCTGAAGAGAACTTACATTCACTGTTGCTCAAGGTTGTTTTAGATGAGCAGAAATTTCCCCCTAAATTTTTAGGGCTTCTGTATCTCTAGACACATGAATACTTGGAATGGAAAAGCAAATACAGCACGGAACTGTGAACTCTGGCCAACATGCACAATTGTTCTAGTTGTAAATTAAATAAAATAGGTAATTAATCAGTGGGTAATTCTACTCATTACAGTTGGGTTATATTTGTTAATTAAATAAAATAGGTAGAATTAACTAAATTTTCTTTATTAAGTCATGAACTAATATGTTTAGTCACATTTTTGACGATTTTATTGGCTGATATTTAACATTCTAAACAATCGTTTTTTTTTTCAGTGAAAGAGAGAAACTTACCATCACCATACTAGGTAAACTCAATAAAAAGAGAGGAAGTATGAAACAGCGTATAAAATGACCGATCAAAATGCCAAGTCATAAAAGTATGACTTCATCATTGATATAAATCGAGCAAGGCATGAAGGCTGCCTCACAAAAAGCGGGGCTGTGTTCTAGAGTTTGGGGACAGCAAACAAGAAAGCACCCTCCCCACAAGATTTATACTTTATGTTGGGGGTACATAATAGCAGGTGATCCGCTAAACTTAAGGGACGCAAGAGAACATAGGGGGTGATCGACTCGGACAGGTGCGAAGGATCAGACTCTAGGTGCACTTGCTCTAGTATGTTATAGTCGCGTTAAGCAACACTGTTGAAATAACATAATTTAATATGATACAGAGCTGTTACTTACAGAGCTGTGTCAGCCAACACAACCCTGCAACATCCAGAGCCTTAAGGAACTCTAAGCGGCTCTCATCCACCCCCGGAGCCTTTGCCACTGAGGACACAAGCTACTGTGTTTAAATTCAGGGGCCGCATCCTTTGAAGACCCGATTTACCTGGTTCCCACTGATACTGTGTGTGATTTCCTGTCTAGCCCTATGTTAATCAAGGGGCTTGATGCATACCAGAAGCACGTCGCTGTAAAAATATAGTCCAATCCCATCACTAGTAGTGCAGTGAGACACTTCTGGAAGGCACCTGAAACGGTAAGTGTCATAGCTGGTGTGAATCAAACTAAAATGGCTGTTGCATTGCGCTGCAGACAGTGGCAGCTCACCCATAGAGGGCGTGGCCCCAACAGTCTCACAGGAAGCGGAAGAAGAAGTAAGGAACCACTAAATACTTAAAAAAACGTGAACATTGAACTAAACAATTGATACATCATACAGACTATAAGTCTTGTGTATTATCTACATTTAAGTGTAGTTTTAAAATGTTATTTACACTTTTACCACTACCGAAACGTCTTACTATGCATTTCCTGTTCCTTTTCGATGCAACAATCTCTACCGTATCCCCCCAATACAAAGAATAGGGGAGGCCATGGACGCAGGGGTACCGTGATCGTGAAGATAAGCGCAGAAGACCAACAGGGCTGTATCTCAGGTCAGGACAGAACCAGAAATTCTCCACAGGTGGAGTAACGGTTCTTATGTTGTTTTAAAGAGGAGAGTCTGGGTTTTAATTTAAATGGCTGCTTCTGTGGATATGATCATATTGCATTGTTACCACTGCGCGTTTTTCACAATATGTGAATTTAGCTTTTTCCAGCCTTTATTTAGTGCCATTGTTGAGGTAGAAAACCTGGGTTCTATCATAAGAATGGTACTTTGATGTCCCGTAGTGGTGATCTGTGGTTAGCGCATCCAACATTTCAGACGACATGACTGAGCACCACCCAAAAAATAATTCACCAGCTGGGCCCGCCAATGGCTGCAGAGACTCCCAGTGTGAGTTGGGGTTACTCATCAATATTTATGATATTCAAAGACCTCGCCTCTGATTGGCTAACAGCAACCTGGCTCTTCCACTGCCTCTGTTTGCTAGCTCTGCTGTGTGATATGCGCTTGTTTCCCAAACCTGATGAGTTCTACTGTGTTGTGCACTTGCCACTGCCGCTGGTCTTCTGGATGCTAAATCAAAATCAGACTTCACCAGTCGCAAGCCAAAATTTGTCCATAGAGATAAATGTACAGTGGCATGTAGATATGCATCCAAGCATATTCCCATCTATTTTCTTTTGGCTGACAAATTATTATTTCTACTAATCTGCTAATTTCCCTCTGGGATTAATAAAGTATCTTTGAATTGAAATTTGGAGGAAATAGGGTTTGAAGCAGCCGCTATGGTACAGGCTGGGATTGGGGTGCCATACCTGCCCATTGAATCAGCTGTTCCTGCCCTGGGCAACAAAGTAGTAAATTATCATTATTACCATTATTTTTTCATTAATTACAATAATTAATAATTCGATCATTCGATCATTCGCACATATGCTTGATGTGAAAAAGATTATTAAAAGAGGATGGAAGTCACACCCATCTATTTCCGGCTTATGGGTCCCAGGAAGAACAAAAAAAAAAAAAAAGAATGCAAGTCAATGGGGCTAAAAACGCTATTTTCTAATTCCGTTTGTTATGTGCCATGGATTTCACATATGATGTCAATGAATTTTAAAGACTCATTCTGACGCCAAGACTGCGCTTGTATTTGAACAGGGGCAATTCATTCAGAAGTTCAGAATTGCGGTCATATCAGAGTATGTAAGTACGTAAGAATATTTTGGGAATTTTACAGTGAGAAAATCCCAAAAGAGTCTAATGTCATTTTGCACAGCATAGCATAGTTTATTTATACAGCACATTTAAAATGCAGCATGGGAGCTGCCCAAAGTGCTGCACAGGCTAAAACAAAACACAACCATTACAAGGAGCTAAAACAAAGGATAAAAATCTCAATTAAAAGCAGAGAAAACATGATGAATACTAAGAGCACATTAAAACAATGACACAATAAACACTAAAATGAGTCACCGTCTAAAAGCCAAAGTGTAAAAGTGGGTCTTTAAACGAGATTTAAAAACCGCCAGAGATGGAGCCTGCCGAACTCCAATGGGCAGTGAGTTCCATAGCTTTGGGGCAGCGTGGACAAATGCTCGATCCCCCCGCGATTTGAGTCTCATCCGCGGCGTGTGCAGCAGCAAAAGGTCAGCCGACCTCAACGAGCGGGTGGGCACATATGGAGTGAGAAGGGCAGAGAGGTAGGGAGGTGCCAGGTCATTGAGTGCTTTAAAAACAAAAGTCAGTAACTTAAACTGCACTCTGAAAATGACAGGGAGCCAGTGAAGATGTGCCAGGACAGGGGTAATGTGGCTACGTCGGTGTGTACCCGTCAAGAACCTGGCAGCAGCGTTCTGAACAACCTGCAGCCGATTCAGGGCAGAGTCCGGAACACCAATGAGGAGGGTGTTTGCATAGTCCAGGCGAGAGGTAATGAATGCATGAATGACTGACTTGGAAGGAAGGATATCCTGAAACGTCGTTCATTTTTCAGCTGCCTGTAAGACTTTCTGCTGATTTGCCTCCACA